AATAGCTGGAGATAAGCCTGTTCTAAAATTAGTAACTAGTTTCATGCACTACATCTATATAACAACATTCTTCAACACGTTTCGTCTACCCATTAATTCATTGTTCAGACTTTCTTTCTTCATAGGGCCAACTCTCCTTCCAGCAATAAATTCGATTCCACATCTCTCCATACTACTTCCCCCTTGCCCAATAAAATTTTCGAAATCAAGATCTACATTCGTCTTGCTCTTGAATTGCATTACCCTTCTATCGAAGGATCCTCCACACCATGATTCCACCCTAACTTTCTGTTCACTCAAAAGGTTACTATATGATAGAAGGTCCAAGACATATATCGGAAGAACTTTTCATGGGAGTGTCACCAGAACTAATGGGACGGACATTCTCGAATTGCTAATTGCACAGGATCGAGAGAACCCAAGTCATCGGGGTTTCTACAATTGTTACAATCCTAAATGTTTCTACGATATTCATAATCCCTGTATACTTGAAGAGTCAATGCAAGATGTTCCAAGGCCAATTCCAGCTACTGAGGAAGCTATTCAAAGTTGGAAAAGTGACGTTTCAAGATTGTTTAAGTCAACGAGGGTGCAGTTTGTTGAAGAGTTTCATCAAAATGATCATGTTATCAGATTGTCGGATGCCGTTGCTCATGTTTATCACCAACAGTGTATCCAGAAGTGGCTGAAGATAAGTCATCTTTGCCCCTTGCCGCTACAAGATGCGTGTTCAGAGAATTAGTAGAAGTTAAGCTTAAACTAGTCATGGAACATCTCTTTGTAAACAATACTTGACTATTAATGCTTATATTTCGTTAAAAATAGATGAAAATACAATCTTATAAATATTATTAATAATTTTTCCTGATTACTAATTTTTTGTATATTACGCACAATTAATTACTTTTAAATGAAGCCAATAAATTAAACTAGACATCTAAGGCTAAATACAAAAATAAAATAGGATATTTGCATCCAAAAGTATATTTCAAGAGTTTATTACGGTCAACATCTGCACTTGGAAATTCTTATCATTGGATTTTAACGATAAAATAACTGTCAATCAAATTAATTGAATTTGATCATCAATTTCTCTCAACTTCTGCCATTTTTGTTCAATAATTTAAATGGCCCTATAATTTTTTTTTCTTTATATATTTTATAGCAAAACCCAGTACTACTAGGAAAAGTTTCCTTAATTTTATACTTTATATATTTAGATAACTTTGGATTTACAATGTTTCATCTCTTGTAAAATAATACCATACATCGTATTTTACTTGAAGAAGGTAACCTTTCGTGTAAGGAAACCTATAATATAAATCTTTTGGAAACGTGTTAATTAGGAGATTGCTAGAAGATTTTATGTAATTCTAAGACTAACCAAACGACGTTCAACCTGCATTATGGAAAACTTAGCTTTACATATAATTTTATCTTTATACATATATATTTAGATCATCATCTTCACCAGTGAGTAATTATTTCTTCTTACTTGATATGGCATCTAATTCCATCTACAACTATTATTACCAAGATTTCAGTAGCGTTTCCTCTGTGCCCTCCCATCTTTTCGTCATCAGGCTATGTTTTAAACATTTTCTTCAATTTCTTACCCAGAAGCCGTCACCATACCTGTCATGAGATTTACCAAACCGTTACTTTCCTCCGAGAAGAGTTCTTGTCCTTTCAAACAGGTCCAACATTCATAGCTTCGATACTTTCTTCCACCGATCATCATCTCACATCATAGACTATGGTACGAACATCTATACTTTCTTGGGAGATGCAAACAAGCCACAACAATGATACTGAACCGAGGGGTTTACTAATGGTTATCAATCTTTTCGCTATGACACCGTATGATGACGTGAGATTACTGATCGTATCTTAAGCGGGTCATCCATTGTTCCAAGATTTAGGGCTGCGGATAGGATGCTATTCGGAATGTTGAAAAGGTGAAGGTTCAAGATTTGAGTCTACGACGCAGTGCACTGTTTGTTTGGAGGAGTTAAGGATGTTAATCTTGAGTGTCTGTCCTGTAGTCATCTTTTCATGAAGATGTATTGTCAGTGGCTGGAGACAAATTGCACTTGTCCTTTGTGTAGGTAAAATTGCCACGCTCAAGGGTTAACACTATGCGTTCATGCGGAAAGAAAATTTGATCAAATAAGCATTATGGTCAAAAAAGTACACGCGAAGTTTGATTTTGTTTAGTAGATTTTGATTGGTGAGTTACAAGAAATATTTGATGAAGTTAATTATTTGATACTCTTTTTGGTTTCCAAGATTGGTCCATTATACCAATGGGTTCAAAATAGTGTACTACTTTAGCATCTGTTTTCAGTTTTATTTCTCTGTGGAATTTGTCTTTTATCTTTTTACTGTTTTAAATCTGCAAATATTCATCTTCAATGATTAAAAGAGCAAATTACTATTTGTTTGCTTTGAATTAATAGGTTTCGTCCGTGAATACGTTTAAACCTTGACACAGAGCTCATTTCTTTTAATATTATTTCATTGGCCATAAAAAATGCAGTGGAGCAACAAGCTTCTACCCAGTCAGTTGTAAGCCAGCTGAGGTCGCGTTAAACCTGATCCTGTCATTTTTTGAGTCACAATGTCAATAACATGATTCTGGATCTGAAATTTGACAGAAATTCTCTTTGAAATAGACGAAATAATTGAACTGTGTACCTGGTGCAGCATATCCATATGTGCAGCTCACTCAATTGGATGAGTCTGGCTTTAGAAATTTGGTGGTTCCAAATCTGAAACATGGGCTTCATATTCAAATCCAGAAAAACATTCTTGCTATTGTCTTCAAGGACATCGATGGAAAGATCATGGTACATATAAGATAAGGAATGAGCCACACCTTTTAGAACATTTACTCTCTTACGGCAGTCTAGTTCTATTGCTGCGTTGTCACTCAATATTTTTTCCAAGCTGCCCTTTTCAGATACTCATAACTAAAATGAGTGTCGGACATGCGAACAAAACTATAAATTTCACAATATTTTGATGTCGTAATTCTGTTAAGGTATTTATTTCACTTAAAACCTCCTTTGATAGTCATCTGACTAGTAATAACGCTACAATCTCTCCAACAATCCTTGGTTCCCATCCCTGTAAGGCTTCTTCAGGAGCATCTCGAAATGCTTTGTTGTTGGACATCGGACCTTGCAATTCATTAGGAGATCACCAAAACAGCTTGGAATTAAACTAGAGAGGTTTTTATGGGAAACATTCAGAAACAATAAGCTTTGCAACTTGTAAATTTGAGATGGTATCTCACCTCTAACCAATTATAATTAAATTCTAACTCTGATAATTGAAATATTTCCCCAATTGAACAGGAATTTCATCCATGAACCGATTATTGCTCAAATTCAAGTGGTCTACTCTCAACAAGTTCCGAGATTTTCTGAATGGACTTGTCCAAATTATTACTAGACAAGTACTGAAGTTCTCAAGTGAACCAAGTTCACCTGGTATACCTCCTGAAAGTTATTTTCATTCAAAATCAATCCGGTTTGATTAGTCAGGTTTCCCAATCTACTGGGATTTTCCAACTAATTGTTTGATGAGAGATCAGGCTCTCGTAGCTGAGTTAGTTTCCGATCTCAGGAGGTATCCTTCCACTATTTCATTCCCAGCAATTTTCAAAGTGCTTACTGTGGGCAGTTTCCCCAGTTTGACGAATCCACCAGAAATTTGTTTTTGCTGGATCAATGAACTCTAGCTTCGGAAAGATCCAAAGTCTTCATAGATTTCCTGTGTTGGTTCTCCGAAGCGAATCCTTACTACTTGAGCAATTCTAATAGAGTAACGACATTTTCCCACCCAAGGTTTGGCGAATTGGGTGGTTTCAACTCCTAGTTCCATAAATTGCGGATTCCCATCCTTAAATTAAAAAAAAAAAAAAAAAAAAAAATTTAATCTAATAGTTAAAAGGTTAAAATGGTCATTTCAAAAATAAAAATTTCAAAATAACCTTACATTTCTCAAATTCCTCCACTGAAATTTGAAAATAGTCATTCACTTCTTAAATTCACCCCATTGACGTTTCAGGTCATTCTGGCCTGTTTTTGGCATATCAACCCCTTCGACACCACCATTACAATCCCTTCAACCTCTACATCAAAACCCCTAATCTCCCCACCTGATTGAACCACCCAATCGCTTAGTTCAGTCGGCGTTTCATCCAATTTCGACAGGTCCTAGCACTAGAAACCACCCTCAACACCACCAATAGCATCACCAGCTCCCCCACCCCCCAATAAAAAACCCCAACTTGCCAATCGCAATTGCCTGCCGATCACCACCGCCTCTCCCTTAGGTTTTCGCGTTTTGTTGTGCCTTTCCAGCCAATTTCGGCATCTTGCCGAGGTGCATTAGATGGAAAAGTTAGGGATTTGGTGAAGAGGATAAGGGGATGCTAATGGTGGTGTCGAGGAGGTCCAATGGTGTTGGAATCAAGCCGGATTTTGGCTTGGCTGGGATCTTCTCTGGGGTTTATTAGAGAAATTTGAGATGTGGGCGTTTTATTTGAGAGAAAAGTAACGGTGTTATTTAAGGGTGAAATTACAATTTATAAAACAGGGTGGGCATGAAGATTCGCCAAACCTTGGGCGGGAAAAAGTCGTTTACCTTTTCTAATACTTTCAGGGATCGGACGAAGAGGTTCTTAGATATTGGGAAGTACCGAAATGATGCACTTTATTTTTGGGAAAATGACCATATTATCAAAATGAAGGAATGAACTGCTGATTTGATTTTGGACCAATGATAAACTATAAAGAGAATCAATTTCCAATCCCTTCAGGATTGACCAAAAAGCTTGTTATATAAAATAGATGCAATAATTGTAAGTTTCTCAAATTTCATCGAACACTACACATGAAAGCACGTGGAGTTTGCATGGCTGTGTTTGTGTCGTTGATCGGGGTAGGTAGCTTATACGTGATAAGGTGATATGTTTGAATGAAAATATATTTTCACGTGGTAGACCCCCTTGCTCGCACACATGTGCTAATCATTTGTGCTCTTCGTTGTTCATCTTCGCTCCCGACTTGATGTTCGCTCCGAACAAAGGCACATCCCAGGCTGGAGATTTTTACTGCACAACAAGCTGCATGAGTTTTTTTCTTAGGCTTCAATGAGTTATCGCATTGTATTGAATTACTTGAACTGAAATGACAGATACAATCTTTTGAAATAAATTTCAATACAACAAAGCTTTTTTTCTTCCTCCTATGTTGACCGTCACTTTAATTTGCCCATTATGCTCATTCATGTTTTCACATGTAATTGGTTTTTTTCTCATATTTTGCCATTTGTTGGCGGGAATCGTAAAAATGAGTTTAGAATCTGAATCAATTACAAAAATCTGTCCCCTTTTTAGTACAATGCTGCAAAATAAATCAATTGAATATCCATATGGTATATATATTTCCAAAATTTTAATTAATACACCCAAATATTAAAAGACTATATATTTCTTAAAACTCTATTCTTAGAACTCAACTTCCTTTAGTTTCTTTTAAACTACGTTTAGAATAACCGAATAAGTAATAAATTCTTAAAACTTGGGTTCTTATCAATTCAACTTCTATTGTCAATGTACACGAAGCAGTAATAACCTTTTAACATTCAACTAGTTATCCTATTAATCCTTAATCATATTGTGGCTTCTAGACTCATGAATCGTGATAGACGAGCTATGACACTAGTTTAAAATAATTTCAGAAATTGCTGAAATAGCACCTGCATAATTGCATGATAGCCTGAACCATCAACATTGGCTTTCATCTACAACGTACAGCTGAAATTTGCTATATTTTTTAAAGCTAGCAGTCCATGGTGTGTAAATTATACTCACACAAAAATATTTCCAACACTTTACATATCGATAAAGGCAAACACCATATTTTATAAGTGCTATAACATAAAAATCCAATCTCCAGCAGGACCTAAAAACACAATGCACAAAGGACTAGTTGACTCAAACCTGATTGTTGGATCTGGAAGTATCTGGAAAAGAATGAGTAACAGATCCAAGATTTGAGTTTTGTGATGCAAACAAATTCGGGTATGAAAAATACGACTCATCATCCATTGAAGGCAATCTCTGCGGCTGGTGACTAACATGTTCCTGATCAAATATTTGATCATTGGAAGGAGGAGAGTCAAAATCAAATTTGAGTTTGTCGATTGAAGGAAGATCAGATGACTCGTGTGCCCTGTTCCCTTCATGAACTTGATGGGAGTCCGGAGAATATAGAACACAATCAGGATCATTCATAGAATTTTTTTGATCAAGATGTGGCTTCTCTTTTGTAGCTGATTGTTCAGGGCCATCTATATGAAATGGGTTCTCAGAGTCACCCACAGAGTCTTCATCATTCTTTTTCTTAGTTAACTCAGAAATTCTAATCTGAGCAAGACTAGCAGCTGAGCGAGCTGCTGATGCTGCACGCTCTGCACTTTCAGCAGCTGTATGTGTGGCAGCCAAAACATCCTGCAAATCCACATTGGTTTCACTTTTTTTTCTCGAAACTGTGACAGGTGGATCACTCTGTTTTGCAGAAAATGATACGGGAGATAGTGATGGGGGAGCAATGAATGGCACAAACTGTCTGTCTTCTTTGGTACTAACAGAATTTTGGGGTATTTCCTCACTGTTAGCCACTGATCTTTCTTGCGTCACCTCCTCAGGTTCCAAGTGCAGCTCTTGTGACAAATTTTGAGTAGCTCCATATTGTCGCAATGATTCATGATCAACTTCAGGGGGTGGGGCAGCTGGCAGTGATGGAGTTATTGGTGTAGCTAACGTATTTATATTTGGCTGTATTGCCATCTTAGGAACTTCAGGAAATTCTAACATCTCCAATCTTGTATCAGAATCAGGCTGTTCATGGTGAGCTTGATCAGGGACAGAAGTTAATGTTTCATCGTGTTTCTCTTTGGGAAGGGGAAGCTTAGACCCACTGACAAACTGTGTTGGCCCATTCTGTCAAAAAGAGAAGAATCATGAGGCAAGAAGAGAAAATCAAGACACAAGGCACTGTAGTGATTCTTACCAATAGATCTTCTTGCGGTTTGAAAAGCTCAGTTTCAGTGGCAGCTGGATCCCAATCTAACTCATGCTCTTCAGCAATTTCTTTAAGAAGTTTGAGCTTTTTCTCAGATGAAGGAGCACGTATAGATAATAATTCTATTAACTGTCATCAAAATACCCAAGAAAGATGTCAAAAAAAAAAAAAATTACTGTAAAAATATATACACATGCAATCATCTTCAAAATAAGGTAACACCATCAGATAACAATTTATATGACCTGGCGATTAACACCACAATCTGGCATGAGCTCAGTTGCACCCGATACAAATTCCTTGCCGTATTTGGAAGCGAACAGCATCTGCACCTGCAGCAACTCTGGTAGATCAGCACATCTCGGTGCAGCAAAACACACACTGGAGATCGCTTCTTTCAAGTCAAGAGGGCATTCCCTGAATGGTATATATAATTAGATATTAATTTCCAAAAATGCTGCAATCATGAACCTCAAGTAACTTCAAAGATTCTAAAACAAATTAATTTCTGGATTAAATATTTTATGACAGTAAGCAACGGTATACGCAAATCAAATAGCAAAAAAGTCCACAGGTGATGAAACCATGAATCCAAACAAAGCATTTCTGAAAGAGTCTCTGTAAAGTTATTTATTAGCTGGGCAGAAGCTTGATAAATCAGAACAACGCCAAAACAAAATAAGTTCAAGCTGTGGTATATAAGCTTGCATTAAGCTAGTGACTAAAAATGGAACATCAAAAGCTCCAGCACTCTAGATAAAGGTCCACGTCAATTTTACAATAAACATCCGTAAATCTTAGTCATCAGAACTGACTCGATGTTACATCCTAATAATAACAGGTTCACTCAACATTTAGCTTAAATAATCACTATAGAGTCACCAAATGAAAGGACATTACCAAAGGTTAGCTAAAGATAGTCTTGGGAATAATAAACAAAAATATAATTCTAAACTTTGGCATTTTTGCATTAAAGGCCCAACCGCACAAAGCACAAATTAAAACCAAACTTTGACATACCAATGCAAAATTCTTATCATTCATAGCAACTTCTTCACTTGGCAGCATTGCGACAAAAAGTAATTAATTATGTAGCATATCATCATTAATGACGCAAAAGTAATTTTTGCATTAAAGGTCCACCCACAGGAATTATAATCTGACATACATATACCAATCCAAGATTTTTATCATTCGAAGCAACTTCACTATTTGGCAGCGCTGTGTAATAGAGTAGTAATTAATGATGTATTGTATATCAATTTAAACATTCAAGAAACCACATTAGTATATCTTAAGTTCATAATTTTGCATTCTTTTTTACTTGTTCACATCTATATATCAATTGTACACCAACTTGTAATTTTTTAATACCACCACAGCCATGATGAAATTTTGAAGAGTGTCAGATAAAACTTTACTAAGACTCAACAACTTAAACATGGCATTCTTTTATGCCATAATAATTTCTTCTAACCTTGATCCAATTTCCCCACTTTCGTCAGTCTTTTGAACTATTGAACAAAACTATCTTTTTGCTTATCATCCAAGCCTTTACTACATAGTTCACATTTCGCCAACCAAAAAGATTAAACAGTCCAACTTCAAAAATGAATTTTACAATAGATTTTTTTTTTTTTTTTTTTTTTAATAATTTGCCTAACTTTAGTTTTGGATCGCTAGAATGAACTCAATATTTGCTCACTAATTACAAGTCAGTAGTTTCAAAATGCATAACAAACAGGCAGCCAGAGCACCAAAACATTGATAGAAACATGAGAAAAAAAGAAAAAACCACCAGACATTTGACAGCAACTATTACCTTTGTGTTTCAATGATTGGAAGGCGGACAGCAATAAGTTCACAAAACAGCTCAAGAATCTCTTGAGCAGCCATCATGTTCTCTTCTCTTATTATATGTTCCACCTGAAACAAAACTATCTCTTTCAGCCCATAATTACCGGGCAATGCCCCTGTAAAAAGAATCCTAAAAAGTCCTTTCTAAACAAGGAAAATCTTTAAATTTTCAAAATCCAGTCATATAAATAAACTCAGAGAAAAATGTGGATATACCCGGATGCGAGCAGTGGCTTCTTGACCAGTCTCAAGAAGGTTGGCTATGTTGCGGCGCATCTGCCTAATCTGAATCTCTCTCCTGTTCCTAAGCAACTTTATCCGTGGAATTGTCAATTTCAGAAGAGTTTTACTGTAAATTAAACAAACCAAAAACAACTCAATCCCACGAAGATTAAGCTAAAATTAAGAAACCCGCAAAATTACAATAAAATTAAAAGATACCCAGTTGAAATAACAGAATTATCTTCAAGAATTACATCCCTTTTCAGCAGTACATAAATCTCACATCTTATATCGCTTAATTGCCTTATCAATAATTATTTAAAAAAAAAAAAAAAAAAAAATCTCAATTCAAACCTCATTTCTAACAAATTATTGCTAAAACTCAATCCCACAAAGATTATGCAAAAACTAAGAAACCCACAAAACTATAACAAAATAAAAAGATACCCAGTTGAAATAACAGAATAATCTTCAAGAATTGCAATCCCTTTTCAGCAGTTGATAAATTTCACATCTCATATCGCTTAATCGCCTTACAAATAATTGGAAAATAAAAAAGGAAAAAGGAACTTCAAATCCATTAAACAAAAAAAAGGAAAAAAAATCTGAATTCTAACCTCATCTCTATCAAATTAAAAAAAAAAAAATTTGAAAAAGAAATTGAAGTGAGAAAAGTACCATTTAGCTCCTTTAAAGCCCTTGTTGAAAAAAGAATCAAGCATCGACATGATGGAGGGCGGAGGCGGAGGAAGATCGGATCAAAAGGCAAGGCTTCGCTGGAGGTTTATGAATCTTAATAGTGATTGAATGTGATGGAAGAATTAGATGACGAGAGAGAAACAGAATGAAGGATGAGGAAGAGGAAGAGGTGTTTTGTAATTGTACCTGCTACACTGATGAAACGCGGAGGTACGAGTCGTTTGCTTATGGATTAAGGATCGTCTAGAAGGTTTTATATTGGTGGAGTAATTTGTGAGTATTATTATGGAAGAGAAATAGTTGTCGACGAAGATGAAGATATTAATTTCGTTTGTGGGCCAAACACGGCCTTGCTGTCGTGCTTCTGCTTCTGTATTTTTTAATAATATATATATTATTAATCATGACGAAATAATGGGAAATTGTGGAAAAATAAATATATAAAATTTAAAGTATTATTTCAAAATTTAAAGATAATTATCACCATAAATTACAAGGATAATTGGGTAGTCCCATTTAGAGCTGGCAATAGACGACCCGTACCCACGGGTAAACGGATACCCGCACCTAATGGGCGAGTATGGGTATCCCTCCAAAATCCTGTTTCAAAGCCACCCGTACCCAACCTCGCCTGTGAAATTTGTGGGTGGGTTGGGTAATACCCGCGAGTAGAGGTGGGCAGGGATCAGTCCCAAGCAAGCCCGGGCCTAGGCCCATTTGGGATTGGTCCCAAAGGGGACCAGTCGCTCATGGTCCCAGGCCCATGACCAAAATGAGGACTCGGATCGATCCTAAGGATTGGTCCTATAGGCCCAGGACCGGTCCTATGGGCCTGGACAATTTTTTCCCTCCCTGATCTTTTTTTATATTTTGGGGGCGAAACGAAATTTTGTAGGGGGTTTTTAGTATTTTTCAGGGGTAGATTAGTAAGTTTCTAAAAATTTAATTAATTTTAAAAAATAATTAATTAATAGTTAATTTTTAACATAAATTCATGTTTCACACATTCATGCTTCACAAATAAACAATTAAATAATTTTTTTTAATTAAATTATTCATTTTCATCGTCAACAATATTTACATCATTCAAATCTGTATTCCTAAAGAGTTCGAGTAGTTCGGGATCTTCAGGGTGCTGTTGTAGTCTTCTTTCTGCATGAGTCCAATCCCGTAAACTCGTTATCACTTTAATCATCTCATCAATTAAAGAACATCTTCTATCTTCAACAATCCGACCACTCGTTGAAAATGTTGACTCGGATGCAATTGTAGAAACCGGCACAGATAAAATGTCACGTGCCATTTGAGCTACAATGGGGAATCGACTTTCATGTTGGTTCCACCACTGAAGAATATCCATATCATGTTGCTTCTTCATCGTCATAAAGGACAAGTCCACTTGTAGGGAGTGATTCAACTCATTTGGTCCATGTATGTATGAGCTGGAGCTACTACTTCCGCCACGTTCTATATACGTCCACTTGCTCGATCCTTGACGGAGGGCTGCATTAAGGTCCAAATCCTCTCTCCTAAACGTTCCATTTCTACTTCCACTTCCATTGTACCTATTCTCATATAAAGAAAAAAGGTTATCCAATTTTTGTTTAAAGTAAGTCAAATAAGACGTATAATCATGTCCTAAATGTTGGCCTATCTCAGCAATTATACAGTTAACTATGTGTAATTTAAACCTAGGATCTAGAACAAGGCCTAATCCATATAAGAATGGAATAACTAACCAATATCTCTTATATTTTTCTTCCATATTTAAAACAATTTCACTTAAAATGTTATTATATTTATATTGAGCAAAAGTTTTAGCAATTTGAAGTAAAATATCTAATACTAAATTAGTAATTGGATAATAAATATCACTTAATGTATTAGTAGCATTATAAAAAATTTGAAGAAATGAATAAAAAAGTTCACAAACCGCCCAATCATCATAGCTGACAACTTCCTCTAGACGGTTCTTCCGGTTGACAAAATTTGTGATTTGTGTCACAGTTGGCAAAGCTTTTTCCAACATCAAGTAGGTAGAGTGCCAACGGATAGACATGTCTGTACATAACTTCAAAGGTCGAACAGGTGGGTCCTTTTGTTTACAATATTTGAAGTACTCTTGCCATCTTTTATTGCTCCCGCTGACGATAAATCTGATAGCTCTGCGCACCCTCTCCAATTTCGAATGTATAGCATCTAAACCTGCTTTAACTATCAAATTGATGATGTGGCAAGCACATCTCTGGTGAAAAAAATTGCCTTCACCACGCGGATCCAATCTCTTTTCAAATAAAGAGATTGCCACGGTGTTAGCAGTTGCATTATCAAGCGTTAGCGCTACAACTCTATCAGTTAATAAATATTCTTGCAAAACTTCAAGAATTGTAAAATAAATAGTTTCAGCACTATGTTTTTCATATAATGGTTTAAAACTTATCAATTTTTGAATAAAAAAAGGATTTTTAGATAAACAAATGGGAGAGTTCGTAGCAACTATATATCTTGCTATTTTCTCTTGTGCAACATATGCATTGTATTGCTATGTTGAGAGAGTTGAGGATTGTGGATTAAAATTAACTTGAGTTTGAATTTGTCTACCTGATCTGCTTGAAGATGCATCGGGCAACTGCATTATTTGGGGGTGCTTCTTCTCCACGTGTCATCACATCGTCGAAGTCCCCTTCTCAGCGCCAATAATGGTTCCACAGAAATTACATATCCCACACGATTCTTCCCCCTCCCCATTTGTCTTTAGCCGTTTTGATTTGGTGAAGTATCGCCATACATCGAACACGACCCTCTTTGATGGTCGGGGGGGTTGGGCTATGCCCGTGCCTATTGACTCGCAGCTCGCATGTATTTGGCTACATCTCGTCTCGACCGAATGTGGTTGTGGAATTGCAGCTGCTTCCTCTGGAGGAAATGGTGAAAATGGATTGAAGCTTTCCATTTCTTTGGTGGATGGAACGTAAAACTCATTTGGGGAAGCCATTATAAATTTACGATAAAACAATAAATAATTAAAATGAAAAGAAATTAAATAATAATATGAAATTATGATGATATTGAAAAATAGAAAAAAAATTGAATAATATAAATAAATAATATGAATAAATTATGAATATAAATATAAATTAAATGAGAATATTTTGTTTATGAGGTTTTGATTGGTCGAGTTACAAAAATATTTGATGAAGTTAATTCATTTGATACTTCTTTCTTGGTTTCCAAGATTGGTCCAATTATACCAATGGGTTCAAAATAGTGTATTCTACTTTAGCATCTGTTTTCAGTTTTATTTCTCTGTGGAATGTTTGTCTTTTATTCTTTTTACTGTTTTAAATCTGCAGAATATTCATCTCAATGATTAAAAGAGCAAATTACTATTTGTTTGCTTAGTGAATTAATAGGTTTCGTCCGTGAATACGTTTAAACTCTTGACACAAGGATCTCATTTCTTTAATATTAATTCATTGGCCATAAAAATGCAGTGGAGCAACAAGCTTACCCAGTCAGTGTAAGCCACTGAGGTCGCAGTTAAACCTGATCCTGTCATTTTTTGAGTCACAATGTCAATAACATGATTCTGGATACTGCAAATTGACAGAAATTCTCTATGAAATAGACGAAATAATTGAACTGTATACCTGGTGCAGCATATCCATATGCAGCTCACTCAAATTGGATGAGTCTGGCTTTAGAAATTGGTGGTTCCAAAGTCTGAAACATGGGCTTCATATTCTAAATCCAGAAAAACATTCTTGCTTGATATGTCTTCATGGACAATCGATGGAAAGCAATCATGGTACATATAAGATAAGGAATGAGCCACACCTTTTAGAAACATTTACTCTCTTACTGCAGTCTAGTTCTATTGCTGCGTTGTCACTCAATATTTTTTTCCAAGCTGCCCTTTTCAAGATACCCATAAACTAAAACTGAGTGTCGGACATGCGAACAAAAACTAAAATTTCACAATATTTTGATGTCGTAATTCGGTTAAGGTATTTATTTCACTTAAAAACTCTTTTGATATGTCATCTGACTAGTAATAAACGCTACAATCTCTCCACACTCTTGTTCCCATCCCTGGTAAGGCTTCTTCAGGAGCATCTCGAAATGCTTTGTTTTGACATCGGACCTTGCAATTCATTGTAGGAGTCACCAAACCAGCTTGGAATTAAACTAGAGAGGTTTTTATGGAAACATTCAGAGACAATAAGCTTTGCAACTTGTAAATTTGAGATGGTATCTCACCTCTAACCAATATAATTAATTCTAACTCTGATAATGAAATAGTTTCCCCAATTGACAGGAATTTCATCCTGAACCATTATTGCTCAAATTCAAGTGGTCTACTCTCACAAGTTCCTAGATTTTCTGGAATGGACTTGTCCAAATTATTACTAGACAAGTATGAGTTCTACATTGAACCAAGTTCACCTGGTATACCTCCTGAAAGTTATTTTCATTCAAAATCAATCCGGTTTGATTAGTCAGGTTTCCCAATTCTACTGGGATTTCTCCAACTATTGATTTGATGATAGATCAGGCCTCGCTACTAGTTAAGTTTCCGATCTCAGGAGGTATCCTTCCACTAATTTCATTCCAGCAATTTTCAAAGTGCTAACTGTGGGCAGTTTCCCCAGTTTGACAGATCTCACCAAAAAATTTGTTGTTGCTGGATCAATGAACTCTAGCTTCGGAAAGATGCCAAAGTCTTCAGATAGATTCCCTGTAAGTTGGTTTTCTCCGAAGCGAATCCTTACTAAGCTTGAGCAATTTCTAATAGAGTAAACGACATTTCCCACCCAAGGTTTGGCGAATTGGGTGGTTTCAACTCCTAGTCCCATAAATTGCGGATTCCCATCTTATTAAAAAAAAAAAAAAAAAAAAAAAAATTTAATCTAATAGTTAAAAGTTAAAATGGTCATTTCAAAAATAAAAATTTCAAATAACCTTACATTTCTCAAATTCGCTCCACGAAAATTTGAAAATAGTCATTCACTCTTAAATCACCCCATTGACGATTTCAGTCATTCTGGCCTGTTTTTGGCTATTCAACCCTTCAGACACCACCATTACAACCCTTCAACCTCTACATCAAAACCCCTAATCCCCCACCTGATTGAACCACCCAATCGCTTGTTTCAGTCGGCGTTTCATCCAATTTCGACAGTCCTAGCACTAGAAACCACCCTCAACACCACCAATAGCATCACCAGCTCCCCCCACCCCCCAATAAAAAAACCCCAACATGGCCAATCGCATTGCCTGCCGATCAC